GATCTGTGTAGTGAGACCCTGTAAATCCTGTGCTAAATACATTTTTTTCAAAGTAAAAAGAGAGGATTAATATGGTAAAAGTTCCTTTTTACTAAGTTCTTTTCTACTTTTCTCACTACTGAGATAAAATATACAACAGCCAAAGTTCAGGGCAAAAGGCTCATTTCAGCTCACAGTTTGTAGAACCTTATAAATTTCATAGTTTCAATAATTGCATGGTATTTCCCACTTTTAAAGCTTTCAAGCATAAATTGTCTTCATGTGCAATGCAGTGATATTTCACCAGACAATAGAAAGCATATCATCTTCCATTGGTTCTCTAAGACCTTCTTTTTTTAAATTATCAATCACCAGGACATTATCAATAGTTATAACAAATATGTTGACAAAGTTGTTTATTTTTTTATTTTTTTATTTTTTTTTTTTGTGATACCAAGGATTGAACTCAGGATCCAGTGCTTGCCAGGCAAGCACTTATTCTACTGAGCTATTTCCCGAGTCCCAAAATAAGGTTGGTTAGTTTTGTTTGTTTTTTTGGTTATTTTGTTTTGTTTTGTTTTTTGTGCAGAGTCTCATTATGCAGTTCTGACTCATAGTGATCTTCTTGATTTCTGCCTCTCTAGTGTTGGGATTACAGTGTGAACCACCATACCTGGACTCCATCACCGGCACAGCACACCTGAGGGCAGGGCCAGCACGGCATGTGGGGCCAGGGATCAAAATCTGGTCCCTTCACTTAACCTAAGCAAGCACTTAGTCTGCTGAGCTATACCACCAACCCTGACAAAGTTTAAAAATCATTTTAATATAATTTTTGCTGCTAAATGCATGACAACAGGTCTAGTTGTATCTTTTTATGTCACCAAAGAAGCCATTTGTTTGGTGACATTATGTATGTTATTAATACTTCTAATAGCCCAAGTGGAGTAGCTTTACTCCCCAACTCTCTATCAATAGGTCTTATTACTCAGGATTTACCCTGAAACCCTGTACAGCAGTTTGTAGATCTTTTGTCCATGTCAGCCATCTGGATGAGTCCTGGTCATTGCTTGACCAATTTGCTCTCTGTGAAAGCCTGAAAGAATGTTTTTTCTCTAGGAGACTCTCCTTAGGCACATTCTACATCATCGATCACTTTCCTCTGTGGCCCTATAATCTCCTTGAACAGAAATTTTGGCACACCATTGATTTACAGGATATTACAGTATAGGTTCTCTTATGTCCTGAGTCCTCACTGACCTTGAAGGACTAGGGCCAAAATGTTAGCTATCCTTATAAGCCCTTCTTTCTCTCTAACTTTTTGGTCTGCAAACTTAAGTTGTTAACCCTCCAGAAGAGAAGCTTAACAATATTATTTTCCTATAACATAGGCAGTTGAGCCTAACATCACTATCTGTCTGAATATCAAACACCTTCGTCATAATAACATGGAACAGGTATTTTCCATAAATCATTGATATGCTAAACTTTAAATCCCTATAGAATGTGGAAAAAAAAATTGACTGACCTTGTCAGATAAAAAAGTTACATTTTTTGTGATATAGGTCTTGCTTTATCTTGGTCTTAACCATCCAGCAGAAAAATATAAACGCATGGCATAAAAAGTAAAGCCATATTAATATGTTGAGCTGTAAAAGCCTAAAGTCAACAACTTCTGATATTTCCAGACACGTGGATAACCCACTACTATTATGGACTACAGGCCTATATTGGATTATTTTGCTGAATTCATGCACCTTCAATATATGAATGGCAATGGAATACCTATCTCTGACAAAACTAAACAAAAACGGGGATATAAATGAAGGACCATTTTGTAGTGAAAACAAATACATATATATCTGTATATATAAAATAGTTGGAATAGATATACAGTCACTTTCTCTTAGTTCAATGAAAAGAAAAATTTGTACTAATGTGTTCAGACAAGATATCATGTCTACATCTTGTCCTATGAATAACTACTATAAAGACAACAATATGTAATGTATTAATTATTGCAACTGTCCTACTAACCTGTGTTGAAACTGTCTCATTGATATTTCTTTCTCAATAAAATTAATTTTAAAAAGTAGGTTTTATTTTTTTTTTCAATTCATGTAACTATAGTCTGATGATGTACACTGATTTTAGAATACTTCATTCTTTTATCAGGTAAGTTGTATCTACAGTACTTTCTATACATTGTATAATAATAGATGTGTCATCAGTAAATGGCTTTATTTTCCAATCAGATATTCATCCATATCAGTAGTTTTTATAATTGTTTGTATTGTAAGTTTTTAATATTTTGTGGAAATAATGATTTTTTTCATTTCTATTTTTGTCTTTATAAAACATTCCTTGATATGCATCAAGACTAGAAGTGGGCTTGGAGATAGTTCAGTGGCATAAGCACCTGCCTGGCTAGCACAAGATCCTGAGTTTGCTCCCCAACACACACACACACACACACACACACACACACACACACACACACACAGGAAGCATAATTTCCTTACAAATTCAAGAGAGTATCTTATAATTTGCCCATCTGACCATTTTTTCCTCAAACACCTTTCCTTCATCCATAATTTTTCTTGTTTTGGTTCTATTTTGTTTTGAGACAACTCTTAGGCTATGCTGGAATAAAAACTTAATAAATAACCTACAATTCTTTTTTAGGCATTGTCCATGTAGTACATGTAATCAGAACACCATTAACAATATCATGATACATTTTGTACTTTTCATATCAGAGTTTCTAATGTATTAAATTATTTTAAGGAGTAAGATAACAATCCCACATTTAATAAGCTTAAATAAAAACTACATGTTCCTTGCCTATCTTCACAGGCATGCACATAAATAGGTAGGCTAAAAATTATTATCAACAATGATCGTAGTTTACTCATCAAGCCACACAAGCAAATGTGGCACCTGCTATATGTGGGCTTGAACAGGTTCAGGATGTTTGCAAAGTAAGGACTCTAGGCCCTGCTGAGTCACTTAGTTAAACTTCTTCTTTTTTTTTTTTTTTTTTGGTGGAACTGGGGATTGAACTCAGATCCTTGTGTTTGCCAGTTAAGCGCTTATCCTACTGAGCCATCTCCCCAGCCCCGGTTAAACTTCTTAAGATGACACACTGTGTCAACCCTTACATTCTCAGCCTAGGATTTCTGGGAGCTGATGGTTAGGGCAAATTGTTTCTCTATGAAGTTCATAAAACTTTGCCATGTGCATTGACTCTTTATAAAAGAGAATAAATTCTTGATGAACCAAAAACCTCTGAACTTGGTTTCCTATAGGTGACAAGTTTTTAGAAAGATATGTATATATTTTTATGATGCTTGTACTTATTTCATGGCATATAATTCTACTCATGCCTTGATAGTTTGTGGATCCTGCTGTTTCTGTGATAAGAGTATGAGTAGCTGAAACATTTTCATGTGGCTATGCTAATATAATGAGCAGAATTGTTAACATGTAGAAAATGATTTTAAGCTTTCTTTCTTACAAGAAGAAACTTTTTATTCATTTGTTGATGTATGTCAAACGTTTGAAAGTTTTCTGTTAGAAAAATTAAGAATTTGAAAGTTTGGGGCTGGTGAGATGGCTCAGTGGTCTAAAGCACCTACTTAGAACAAGCTTAGCAAAACACAGGGACCACGGTTCAATCCCCCAGCACCACATGCCAGCCAGCCCCGACCCCTGGTGGGCTGAGCTGGCCACACACACACACATACACACACACACACACACACACACACACACACATAAATAAAAAAAAATAAAAAAAAAGAATTTGAAAGTTTTATGAATTCTGTCTAACATTCACTGACCACCTTCAGTTGTGCTAAACATTGGGGAATAAGTTCTCTGTGTGATATTCCAGAGGACACAGAAATGGAAATGAACTACTCTCCTAGAAGGTACAGAATGATGACATCCATGAAGATAAGATACTGGGGTAGAGAGTGAAAGTGGTGATGACTCATCCTATTTCAAAAATAAGAGAGTTTGTTTCTTTAACATGTGACTTATTCATAAAACAGAACAGTGGGACAGAAGAGAGTGCTCCTCAGGGGCAAAGCCTCAAGCAACAGCCCTGCTGTGCTGGAGGACAGTGCTTCAGGGAGCGGCCACCTGCACAGTCTGAGCCCTGTGGACCCAGGCTGGGGGCTGGAGGGAGACCAGAAATGCAGCTGTGGCTAGAGGGGGAAGGCCGTGAATGGACTTTGTGTTGTGAGCAATAAGAAGTAGGCTAAAGTAAATGAACACATCAGAGTAAAGTTCAAATTATGATTTGAAAAGATAACTCCATTGGCAAAGTAACACCAGTTTAGCAGAGAAGATGGGTTGTTGTCCTTAGGATAATAAGATCATTGTCCTCATTAGTGGAGATTTGGTTTTTCCTTCTGAAATACAGGGAAAAGATGTAGACCTGAGGAATCTGTTAGATCTAGGTTTCTCTCTTCTGCCCTTGTTGGGTATATGACCATGGGGATCCATAGGACTTTCATGATCCTCAGTTTCCCTGTGGATAATATCAAACTAGTTCACACTGCTTATGTGATGATTTGGTGACATAACGACTTGGCAAAGTACTTTGTAACCTACCAGCATGATATACACGACATTCCAAGGATCTTACTCATTATCAATTTCCTTAGAGACAATTCTCTCTTGTTTACCGTATCCTGTATCAACATACCAGGTGTAGGTGTGGATTTATCTACTTCAATATTTTTTAGTTAAATCAACCTCTGGCTCATAACAATACAATGATTGGAACCATACAATGTAAGCTACTGAATGGACCTTCAGGGTGGTTTTAGGCAGCTTGATTTTGGTCTCCTCCATTCTCTATGCTTTACCCAAAAACTTATATATCAAGAAATATACAATAACTTCTATATTTCATTTTTCATTAATGAGGGACATTTAGAAATTTGGAATCCAGGATATTCCCTGCTATATATACTAAAGAGGACCATTACAGGTATTGACTAGAGAGACTGTTTGATGCTTCAATTATATTTATTTTTCTTTTATAGCAGGATTATTGATGCTTCAAGGAAGTAGCTCACATTCATTTTTCAGCAATCTGAAATAAATGAAAAGCATTAATCTCAATGCCATGGGTCTTTTTCTAGGGACTATGTAAATTTTTGTATTTTAATTATACGCATTGACATAAACATATTTCATTTAAGGACTGGGAAACTTTCTGCTCAAGAAGACTTGAGTGGGGGCCAGCGAGAAAGCTCAGTGGTCTAAAGTGCCTGCTTAAATAAGTTTAGGCAAGCACAGGGACTGCAGTTCGATCCCTGGCACCACACACTGCACCAGCCCACTCCCAGGGTGGCTGAGCCAGCCACACACACCAAAAAAATGACTTGAGTAGATGCAGGATAGAGCTTTTAGTAGTAGGTATTTGCTGACAGGGTTTTTCCCTAAGACAATCCCATGGATTATAATGTAATCTTCACAGGAGCTTACTCTCCCTGCATGCTCAGGGGAATTCACAGTCTGCCTGCTTTGCTTTTGATATGTTGAGATGATAAGGTTTCCATTATAGGTGGAGCATGAACTTTTAAGATTTTTATTACACAGTCACTTTCAGAAGACAAGTGCGGGGGTTTAGTGCTACAAAAATTACAGTTTTCTAAGGACTGGGACAAAGTCTATTTTAGGTTTTACGTCCACTATGATCTCCACCTTGATTAACATTTTACCTTTCTTTGGACCCCTAGTTGGTGGGTCCAAAATGCACAATTGTTGATAATAGTAAAAAATGTTCAAGTATTTTGTACAATATTTTGATAATAAAGGATCTTTTCGGGGCTGGTGAGATGGCTCAGTGGTCTAAAGCACCTACTTAGAACAAGCTTAGCAAAGCACAGGGACCGCGGTTCAATCCCCCAGCACCACATGCCAGCCAGCCTGCCCCCTGGTGGGCTGAGCTGGCCACACACACACACACACACACACACAAAAAATAAATAAATAAATAAAATAAATTTTTACAAAAAAAGGATCTTTTCTATTACACTACAGCAAATGAAGGATCTAAACTACCATGTTGTTTGAGTCGCAGAGGGACACATATATGTACTTCCAAGTGGAAACACCAAAAAATGTTAGAGTAAATAGGTGTTAATGGAACTGAGTGAGAAAATTGTAGCATTTTTAGTATAAAATGATGCATTTAAATAATCTATAAGCAATAGGCAACAGTAATAACAAAATGGTTGTATTATGGATACTTACTGTTTGTTTCATGTTAAGTTGCAGTGGGACTTTTGTCTCTTATTTTCCATTAGGAGGAGGAGTTACAATTCTAGACTGAGGTATTGGAGTAGGAAATAAATAAAATATATAGCCTGGATATGCTTGGTTTAGGATTGGTGGATATTGGCCAGATGGGTACTGGTAAGGAGGCAAATAAAACTGTTGAGCAAATTCATCGCTGTCACTGATCTGTTGAGGGAAAGAGAAAGGCCCATTTTACTCATTACAAAGAGAAATAAAATGCATCTTTAACATACTGGTTATCATTTTTAAAATTTACCAGCATATTTCTCATTACATGAAGTTTACATTCATCCTGCAAGTGCGTATATGCACCTGACACAGTTCATTTCTCTTTCAAATCCTCTTCTCCCAAGAGAATAGGAAAAAAATACACACACACACAAACACACACACACACACACACACACACACACATACACCACAGCTAGTATAGATATACAGCTAGTTTCTCTTAATCATTAAAAATAAAGATTTGTGCTGATTTTGTCTGGGCATTATTTTATGCTTAGATTTTTTACACTGAATGGCTACCATGAAGATAACAATGGGCAAGTGAATTAGTTATTGGTACTCTACTATAAGCCTGAATTTTTTTTTGTTTGTTTGTTTTTCTTTTCTGGTTTTTTTTTTTTTTTTTTTTTTTTTTTTTTTTTTTTTTTTTTTTTTTTTTGGCAGAACTGGGGATTGAATTCAGGCCCTTGTGCTTGCTAGGGAAGTGCTTATTCTACTGAGTCATCTCCCCGGCTCCTATAAACCTGATTTGAAACTCTGTTTTATTTTATTTCTGTTTTTCTTCTTCTCTTATAAAAGAAAATAGTGAGATTCTGAGATGGGGAAAAAGGAAAAGAAAGAAGTGAAAAAGAAAAAAGTATGTATATATATTTATTTTTTCATATATATGTATATATATGCATATCTTTCTTAACAAAAGATAGTTAAGAAAGTAATACAGCTAGTTTCTCTTAGTGCATTGAAAAGAAAATTCTATGCTGCTATTTTTGGACAACATTTAATGTCTATATCTTTTACATTAAATAACTACTAAGACAACGATATGTAATGTACCAACTACTGTTATTGTCCTAAGGTCTATTTGGAACTGTTTTATTGTTGCGGTTAATTTTTCTCTTTAAAATACAAGTATTAAAAAACATAAAACAAATCCCCTTCTCCTTTTCACCCCCTCACTTAATATGCCTCTGCATTTTCTTTTGCATCTTTGTTCTTAAGGTTATCATTATTCTTAGCATGTGTTTATGACAGCTGTTTACACTGACTGTAGTTATTGGGTTCCTGCACTTGGCAGGTCACCATTCTTTCTCCACACGTCCGCTCACTCTCAGCTTCCTGTGCCCCCTCCCATTTGTGAGAGATCTGGTCCCTCGATCTGAACTTCTTTACCTTTCTACTTGTACTATGAACAGAGGTTTGATTAATTTTAGAAAACCAGGGATAGCCATTTTCCTGCATTCCTGGCTTTTCTGCGCAAAGTCTATTTTTCATATACAGTAATTTGTTCTACAACTAAAAGTATAAACACAGGGATATTGAAGGCCTTTAATATTTCTCTCTCTACTTTTACAAGAGGTGTTTACCTGGACTATTAAATGAGAACAACCCTCTTCCTGGATCTCATTTCTTTCTTCCCTCTTTCTTCCCTATATGTGGATATTTCTATCAATTTCCATATTCTGCACACTGTTTATTATTTGGGCCTCCAAGCCATGATTTTTTATTAATTTTATTGAGAAAGAAATAACAATGAGACAATTTCACAACAGGTTAGTTGGACAGTTACAATGATTAATACATTGCATATTGTTGTCTTTGTAGTAGTTATTCATAGTATAAGATGCAGACATGATATCTTGTCCAAACACTATTAGTAAAAATCTTTCTTCTCATTGAATTAAGAAAAAGTAGTTATATATCTATCCTAACTATTTTGTATTTACAGCTATAATATGGAATACCCATTTCTAACAAAATTAAACAAACAAAAGGGGGATATATATGAAGGACCACTTTGTAAACCATGCTTTTTCTGAAAAACTAAAAACAAATCTTCAAACTGGACTTATCCTCTTAAAATTTAAGTTTCTTCTTAAACATTTTTGGCTAAGTGTTAAAACCAAAGCTGTTCTTTACTGAACTTGCCACCAGTAGAATGGACCATCAACACTGGCTCACTGTGACACTTGGGGCCTGGAACAGGCCCAGCAGCCTGCATTAAGGCCTGGAGCTCACAGAGTGCTATCAGAGGTGGCAGAGACTTTGAAAGGTGCCACCGAGGGGGAGCTTTGTCACTGGGGGTGTGGGCCTGAGGCTGAAGGCAGGGCTGTTGCCTCCTCTATGTGTTCTCATGGGAACAAATTGTGCCCTAACAGACAAAGCAGTGGGCTTTCCTGGCCATGGGTCAGACACTCTGAAACTACCCAAGACACAGCTTTCCTCTTTTTGTGTCAATTTGTGTCAGGGGCAGGCAAAGCCAAGTGTCAAGTTCTCCAGTTTAATTATGCATTTATCTTCTTAGAATGAACATTGTAGGGCCATCACAGAGTGTAGTTATGGGCATTTATGGGCCTTTGCTAAGCTAGACGATTCAAGTGAAAACATTGAAACCCAAGTCATCACAGAATGATTCACATTTCAACCTGAGCACCAGTGCTGGGTGAGAGGCAAAGACACTTCCATTCTTCAAAGTGGAGCTAACCCTCCCTGCTTAGTGACAAGAGGCAAACACATTAAGAATCTCCAAAAAGTAGAGGAGATTTGGATAGGTAAATCCTTTAACCACAGTCGTGAATATTTAACACAGAAGACTTGCATGAAAAAAGAAGAAAGTAACTTACACTTTGTTTTTCTCGATCTTGGTCTTGAGAGACCTAAAGTTCAAATAGTGAAATTATTTCAAATTATGCTGATGAAAAATCACAAAGAATATATATATATATATATATATATATATATATATATATATATGCCACTGTTTTTTTTAATTTATTTTTTATTTTTTGGCGGAACTGGGGATTGAACTCAGATCCTTGTGTTTGCCAGTCAAGCGCTTATCCTACTGAGCCATCTTCCCTGCCATATATATATATATATATATATATATATATATATATATATATAATGGCTATATTGTACCAAATTTAAAACTTTAGGCTTCTATTGTTCAGAAAATATTTTAAAACTTATTTTCTGAAAAATGTAATGTGTATTTTTTTATATATTTGGTACAAGGTCTCACTAAATAGCTTGGACTTGTAGTGAAACCCCTGTTTTCAGCCTTCTCAGCACTGGGATTACAGGTGTGTGCCACCATGCAGTCTCAGTGGCTGGCTCAGCAAGTCCAGGTGCAAAGCCTGTGTGGCAGGTGGTGCTGGGGATCAAACCCTGCCCCTGCACTTGCCTAAGCAGGCACTCAATCCACTGAGCTCTCTCACTGACCCTATAATGTATATTTTGAAATGGTTCAAATTCCCCACTGCCCAGGGCTATATGGAATTGAATTATTTACCAAAGAGTGGTTGGTTGACAATATTTTCCTGAACATAATCTAGAGGCAGATTCAGGGTTTTGTATAGAGTAGATAAATTTGGGCTTCATGAATTAGAACAAAATACTTTAAAATGCAAAAGTGAATCCTTACTGGGAGACCAACAGCTACTGCCAAGATAGCACAGATCAGAAGGAGAGTTTTCATCTTACTTAGAAATACTCTAGAGGTCAGAAAAAAGACCAGATGTTAACACCAATTCACAAGATACAGTTGTGATACAAATGATGGAACCTTCCAGACCTTGAAGAGTCTGGAATGTCAGAGGACCAATCTATTTGTGACTGGACAACATGGTTCTTTAAGTAAAGTCAAAACAGATTTGTAATTTTACAACTTTATTGCACCAATTCTTTAAAATGTGCATTCATGTGCAGGGGCCAGGGGTTCGATCCCCGGGCCTGCCATGCCAGCCCTGTCCCCGGGGTGTGCTGAGACAGCAATTGAGACTGGGCTTGGTGGCATGTGCCTTTATTCCCAGTTCTTGGGAGGCTGTAAACTGGCAGACCACTATGAGTCCAACCTAGTAGTGAGAACCTGAACATCCTGTAGACCCTTCCTAAACTACAAAGTAAATAAATATGTAAACAAATAAATATACATTCACATATTATTTAACAGTAACACTTCTTTTAATTCTTAATAAAGTTTTCTGGAATGAAATGGTGCATCAGCTTATACAAAAAATGCTACTGCGGGGGCATGCAGTGGTTTAGTTGTTTTAGGGAATTCAAAGCAGGGATTTATAAATGGAATTAATTTAGATGACAGAAGTATTAACATTGATTCCAGGCAACTTGTCCCACAGATTTGTGTTGTTTAGGAGGATCTATTTTAAGTGTTTAGGGAAAAAAATTCAACTTTTTTCTAGAAATTGATTTTCAAACAATAACAAATTTTAATTTTCTTTTTTTTTTTTTTTGTATTTAGGACAGGGTCTCCAGGGTCTCACTGTGTAGATTGGACATAGTGATCCTCCTGTTTACAGTCTCCCAAATGCTGAGATTACAGGTGACCACCAGCAGGCTCAGTCTCAGTCACCGTCTCAGTGCACCGCAGGGGTGGGACCTGCATAGGAGGCCTAGGGATCAAACTCCCGGCCCTTGCCTCTGCCTAAGCAGGTGCTTTAATCCACTGAGCTATTTGTCAAGCCCTTAATTTTTGTTTTAGGTTTAAATTTTATTATATACACTCTTACAATGCATCAATTAAATATTGAAATATTTGAGAAAACTAAGCTAAATAAAAGGTTCAATCCATGGTTTCCTTGTCTAATGAACTGCACAATAAAACAAAACCATTTTCATTTACTAAGTTTACAAATTGAAGCAAGTGTCACATAATAGCCTTAATAATGTTGACAATTCAGTATATCTGCATATATAGCAGCAGAAATATACAAAAAGCAGTGTATAATCTTACTTAACATTGATAGTTAAAAGCTTTCTTACCTCTGCGCTTCCCCTCTCTTCTTTCTCTGGGATGGGGCTATGCGAAAGGGCAGTGACTGCTACTGGAACGTGCAGCTCTTTTATTCTCCAGGAGTGCAAAGGACAGAGACTCTGTGGCTGGAAGGTCCATCCCAGGGATCAGCTATCAGTTGAATCCTCAACTGTCACAATGTGTTGAAACTGAGGAATAACTGACATTTGCAGTTTCGTGAAAACTTTGGTCGAGTGACTAGCAGATATATCACTTTGTGGTTTTCTTTGTGCAATTTTGTGTATCTTATACATTTAAAGTTCACCACTATACACACACACACACACACACACACACACACACACACACACACATATATTCCTCAAAACCACATTCTGAAAACAACATGTGATTGTAATACCATTCTACTGCCCAGATAAAGAAGATGAGAAGTAGAAATTTTTGGCTATTGGTTTAAGGTGTTATCACTAGTACTCTGAACAAGTTTATACTGAACATCAGCAATTTGGTTCTAAAATTCATACTCTTTTTTAAGCAAATAAAAGATAATAAAAATGTTTAGAAAAGATGCAAAACTTCACTAAAAAAGATAGGAATTCAACAATGTTTGTTATATTACACATTGTTATCTTCAAATTAGTTGTTCTGATGATAAGATACAATCAAACAAATTAAAAAGAAGAAAACTATTCTATGTTGGATTGAAACATTTTATAAATGGAAGCTATAGTTTTAAAAGTGCATTATATGGCTAACATCAAGAAGTCAGCCAATAACAAATGCTGGAGAGGCTGTGGGGAAAAAGGAACCCTTCTCCACTGCTGGTGGGAGTGCAGACTGGTACAACCATTATGGAATCAGTGTGGAGATTCCTTTACAAGCTAGGATTAAAGATCCCATTTAACCCAGCTATTCCCCTCCTGGGTATTTTTCCAGAAGAACTGAAAACATGATACCAAAACGATATTTGTGCACCCACATTTATAGCAGCACAATTTGTCATAGCTAAATCTTGGAAACAACCCAAATACCTATCAACTGAGGACTGGTTAAAGAAGATGTGGTATTTTTACACAATGGAGTATCATTCAGGTATAAAACAGATAAATTTGAGACTTTTATTGGTAAATGGATGCAACTAGAGAGCTTTCCCTTAAGGGAAATAAGTCAGACCTGCATGTGCAAACATTGTATTGTCTCCTTAGTGTGAGAACCTGAAAGAGAAAATAAAATCTGAAGGATACAATAGATTCTGGGAAAAGGTAGAGACCCTATTCCAAAGCAAGGAATGGAGGATGAGAGAGGGAGTAGCGGGAAAAGATATATCTATATTTGTAAACAAGATGGTTTGTGCAACTGTACTGTGGATTTCTACTGGTCTGTGGAAAGGTCTATTTTGTCTCCTTTTCTTCAATTGTAATTTTTCTCTTTTTAATTTCTTATGTATTTCATTCTTTTCTTTCATTTTCCAATTTTGCATGCATATATCTGGTAATATGAACAACTATTTGGAAAACAACACTATGCATTACAACAAATACTGTGAAATTCATATTATCTTAAGTGAAATTTTGTATCACTTATAATTTTTCTGTTTTAATAATACTTTGTTAATATAGCTTTACTTTTTATACCTCGTGGTTACACTTTCCTGCTGGATGCTGAGCTGTAAAAGGGTCAAATCAACAACCTCAGACAATTGCCAGTTGTGCTGGTAACTCATTACTATTATGGACTATTGGACTATATTGGGTTGTTTTACTGAATTCAAGTACCTACAGTATTTGAACTTGTATCAAGTATTACAAGATCTTTAAAGACTTCTCCAAATACAGCTTCTCTAGCAGCAATGGAACATCCATCTCTGACAAAACAAAACAAAAAAGGGGCCTATAAATAAAGGACTGTTGTAATGAAAAAGAAAATATATACATATATATAAGATAGGCAGGATAGATATATAGCCACTTTCTCTTAGTTCAATGAGAAAAAAGATTTGTACTAATAGTGTTTAGACAAGATATCATGTCTGCATCTTGTCCTTTGAATAACTACTATGAAGACAACAATATGCAATGTTTTAATTATTGTAACTGTCCTACTAACCTATTTTGAAATGGTTTCATTGCTATTTTATTTTATTTTCTCATTAAAATGAATAAAAATAAAAGATACTACTTTGTGCTCTTTTAAAATAAATAGTGCATTATATATTATAGTACACAATTTGATAGACCTATTTTGTAAAAGTTCCTTATCTTATTACATGAGAAACAGGCAGAAATATTTTATTTCTTTCTATTTTAAGATGTATTATGATCTTTCCAAGTTTCTAAGTTATTTAATCTAAATCCTACCAGTGACTTTTAAAGTTTATTACATAATAGAAACTGAGAAAACATTTAAAATTGACTTTATGATCTACAAACTGCTGTTCAGGGTTTCAGGGTAAATCCTGAGGGGATTTGACTGATCTTGTCAGATACAAAAGTTACATTTTTTGTGATATGGGTCTTGTTTTGTCTTGGTCTTAACCATCCAGCAGAAAAGTATAAACACGAGGTATGAAAAGTACAGCCATATTAATATTCTGAGCTGTAAAAGGCTCAATTCAACAACTTCTGACATTGCCAGTCATGCAGATAACTCACTACTATTATAGACTACTGGATTATATTGGATTACTTTGCTGAATTCATGCACCTACAATATATGAATGGCAATGGAATACCCATCTCTGACATAAGTAAACAAAAAAGGGGATATAAATGAAGGTCCATTTTGTAGTTATATGCATATATATATATGCATATATATATATATATATGCATATATATATATGCATATATATAGCATATATATATATATATATATATATAGTAACTTTCTCTTCATTTTTTTTCTCTTACTTCAATGAGAAGAAAGTTTTGAACTAATAGTGTTTAGACAAGATATCATGGCTGCATCTTGTACTATGAATAACTATTACAAAGACAATATACAATGTATTAATTATTATAGCTGTCCTACTAACCTGTTTCAAAACTGTCTCATTGCTACTTCTTTCTCAATAAAATTAATATAAAAATTTATTTTATTCTAATAGTTGGTTCACCTAGGTAGAATGCAATCAGTCCTTTGGTGTGCTATTTTCAGTCCTTGGAAGGATTAAAAATTTGTGAATGGTGGAAGGAAGGGTAAAGAAAAAAAGAAAATAAATAGGTAGAATGCAATCAGTCCTTTGGTGTGCTATTTTCAGTCCTTGGAAGGATTAAAAATTTGTGAATGGTGGAAGGAAGGGTAAAGAAAAAAAGAAAATAAATACATAAAGATTTGTTAATAAGAAGGGGAGAAGGGCTGAAGGGAAAGAAGGAGATGGAAGGAAAAGAAAAAGAGTAATAAAGGCATCCCATATACACATACAAGTCCCCTATGATGAGTGTGATCATTATGCATTGGATTTGAAGCTGTGGCAGGAATCTAGGGGAGGATAGTTATATATTTAATCCCTAAGTTCCAACACCTAGTGTATTTACTGTCCTCGATTAGATGATATATATAATTTGGCTATTAACCATTTAGCTGATTCCTAATAAACCTGGAGACATGTAATGAGACCAATTAAGTCTTTTGTTCAGAAAATAAAAAGGTCAGCGAGTTGTAATCTAAAAAACTAAAGACTCTTTTGTATGAAAAATTGAATGCTGCCATGATAGAATTTACTAGGAAACTGCACCATACTTTCTGATTCTATTTTTAATATAAATTTCAATAAATGAATCAAAATATTGCTAGGATAATGCAGTGTGTTGTGGATGCCTGAGCAAGGTTAAGGACACACTTTCAGTTATAGTAATTAAACCTGATCCTTCTTCACGTACCAGTATTCAGGTATGCTATGTGGCCCTGATGCTTTGTAACCATTTCTAAATTCTTTTAAGTATTTGGACTTAGTCTACCAAATCAGCAGTTCTAGCATTGCAATTGCAGTGTTGTTCACCACATATGGTAGATAATGGATAATTATTCATTTCAATGAAGGAATGTTTCCCTATGTTCAACACCTAGTACTAAAAAAGAAAATAAAGGTTATAAAAAGCATCTGAATGGTATTTAGAGCTAGATAGGACTGTTATATATTATTTAAATCTGAATGTAAGGGTGCAGCTTTTTTTTTTTTTTTTTTTTTTTTTGCTGAACCGGGGATTGAACTTAGGCCCTTGCGCTTACCAGGGAAGAACTTATCCCACTGAGCCATCTTCCTGGCCCAGGAGGCAGCTTTTAAACTAAAGGAACGTGGGTTTAAGCATTCCTCATGGCTGTTGATCTGATCACACTACACAGCCAAAAGTTGCTCCATAAGAAGTCATTCTGGCTAAAGTCATGCTGTAGGAGCTAATGCTGTCTTTCTGCATAAAACTTTATTCAGATGGCTAAAATCTAATAAATAATGCAGATTTTTATGAAGTGGTATAAAACTTCTAAGTACAAATATCCATGCTGCCAAGTCATGTACACAGGGTTGTCTTGAAAGGGCAAGCAGGATGGTTTGCCTGAAATAAATGGCTTCATGTCTAAGAGGTGGGGCAGGGTGCCATATGGTAGACATGATATGGGGAACATAGATACCAGAGGTAAAAATGAATATTCTCTGATATTAAAATACTATATAAGGAAAAATTTTAAAGATTTAAACCACCCATCCCTGCAGATATTCAAAGACAGCAGATAAGAATAGCCTGCCAAACATCAGAAGAGATTTTGAGTAGTGGCTGCTGGTAGTGAGATTACTTTTTTTGCTCATGTCCAACCTTAAACTGTTAGGTTGGGCTTTACAGGAATGATAACACCCACTGGAACATTTTAGTCATCAACAAAAGAAACAGGGCTAGCCAAATAGCTCAGCAGATGAAAGCTCCTGCGTAGGCAGACACAAGGGTCAGGGGGGGTTTGACCGCCCCCCCCCCCCCGGGCCTGCCATGCTGGCCTCAACCCCGGGGGCAGGCTGAGAATGCAATTGAGACTGGGTGTGGTAACACACACCTGTAATCCCAGAACTTGGGAAGATGAAAACAGAAGGATCACTATCAGTCTGATCTACGTAGTGAGACC